CACAATATTGAATCCACAACGCTGATGTCAAATCCACAACGATGAGCCACTCTGGAATCCACCAAAACTTCAGGCTCAAGTTCCTCACAATCCACTGAAGAACAACTATCTCTTTTGTAAATAAACGAAAATAAAAAAACCGTTGATAATGTTGATATGAAGTTCACGGATCCATTGACCACTCTTAAATCCTCAAGGAAACACTCATAGGCGATGTTTGGGAAGAGGCTAAAAGGCTATTTTAGCCCTATTTTAAACAAATAGCCAAAAAGTTGCACTGTAGCTGAGTATGTTTTTTTTTTTTTTTCATCAGAAACTGACGTGGACAGATTTGGCAAAAGTGTATGACAGTGCAGGGTATATTTGAAATTACGATTTTGCCCTTTTACTTTTTGACTAACCCACCAACTTAGCATTCCAACCCACAGGAGCACTTTAGTCATTTCATATCCCAACATAATCATAATCCAAGTCAGGCACAGCTTCATCACGTCATGCACGGCTTTTGGGGAATAATTTAATTATTTTTTATCTAAATATCATTTCAAACACATTTTTCAATACAACAACTCAAATAAAAATCCAACCCAACTTCCCAAACACAAAAACTAAAGTAGCCTACTAAAATAGCCGAAAAGCCAAAAAGCCTCTAAAATAGCCACTTCCTAAACACCCACATAAAGTACCCTCCAATATAAAACACTTTGTATCTTGTTTCTCTCTGAAAATCTAGATGGCACAAACTGTAGAAACAACAAACTGTACACTTTATAGTAAACTGAATCGTGAAGACCGCTCGAACGCATATTTCACCGCTCAAACGGTGTGAACAAAGGCGATGCAAAATATATAGGCTGACTATGTGAGCGACCACTTCATCGCTCGAACGAACTCATTAAAACCGTGCCCATCACTCGAGCCAAGACTCCACCGCTCGAGCGCATATAAGATGCTCTCATAGTCAGCGAAGTGACAAACACAAAAGGATCATGATCACAAACTCCTCTGTATAATCACAATTCAGGTCGGATTCACATCTAAATACTTATAATTTCACTGTAATAAAAGAGCGAATAAAATTATAACTAAAAGGAGTTTTGTCAAACGGGATTGTTAATTACAAAAACTTAACAAATGTTATTATACATATCACATACCATATAAACCTTTAGTTATATCATTTTCTATTTTAATTATGATCAATTTTATTTTTTAGTTATAATATTATTTCGAGATATTTAGTTATGACTTTCGTATTTCATTATGATTTTTTATTTATTTTAGTTATGACTCAAAAAATATAAAACTATACCATTTTTCTGTAATTATAAGTCCATAGTCTTTTCCTAAATTTATACATCCACATTAAAAAAATTTATACATCCACATTAAAAAAAGAAAAAAAGAAAAGAAGATGAAGAAAAAGTAATACAAAACAATAATAAAAAATCAGTGAGACATTACGGGTGTGTTTGGTTTAGGTTTGAGAGAGGAGTTTTGGAAAAAAAAAAAAATTCCAAAAAATTGTTTGGTTTGAGATTTTTCTCAAAAGATTTCTAAAATCATTTTCTCTTACACATCAATCAATCACTTTTTCTTTCTCCTCTTTTATTCTCAATCACTTTTTCTCTCACACACATCTAGTCAATTTCAACAAAATATCAAATCTTCACAAACTCCCAAACTCTAAAATTACTTTCAAAATATACAACCAAACAAACCGAAAAAATTTATAAACTTTCTCCACAAAACTTTTTTTTGAAAATCAATCTCTCAAAAGCAAATCAAACAAAGCCTACATTTCTCTTTCATTGAATCATATTCACACACTATTCCATCATATAAAGAAAGGCTTCCAATGCCAAAGCCAACCTAGAAGACACCTTCGTCTCTCTGAATTCAATTCTCTTCTAAGTTGTCACCAACCGCTCAAACCTCTCTCTGATTTTGGACAGTTGGGTCCATAAACCCAAGATGAGTTTGAAACCAACCCCAACATCTCCCGCCGGAAAATGGGTGGGATTCGTGGCCGCGGTTTGGGTCCAAGCCATCTCTGGCAACAACTACACCTTTGCGGATATTCGGTTGGTCAATTGGTTTGGTGTAAATTGTGTAGGACAATTTTGTAAAGAAGAGATTATTTGGGAGGATGGCTGGGAGGACATCCGACCCAATGGTCACCTACAAATTTAATGAAATGCTCCAAGCATTCTCAATTTGATAAAAAATTTAATGCATCTTTAATTTAATATTAGTTTAATTTTAAGATTAGAGCATCAAAACTAAACTTTAATTTAAATTTGATAAAAGAAAAAAAAGTAAGTATTGGAGACCTTCTTATCTAACAAATTTAATTAATATCTTATAAACTGTCATATTGCATGCTTGAACGAAAGAATAACATTAGAGCAACAAATTTTTTATTTCAAATTTTATACATTACGCATTACATGTCATTTATTTATTAGCATAATGTATAATATATTGAAAAACAAGCTGATTAAACTAATAATGCGGCGATGCTAGATCCATATTCTTAATTGAGTTGAACAATCCTCCTTAATTTCATTGGCCTAACCTCTCAAGTTGTGTGAGTTTTTTTATTTTATATTTTTTATTATTAAATATTTGTCTGTGGTTACCTTGTCTGATATTTTCTTTCCTAGCTAAACCTATTGATTCAGATGTACTTGGATTTATATTATGCTTTTGGCTCCCTTTGGATGTTATCTGGGTTAAAATAGGCATATAAAATAAAATTAATTATTTTAATAAAATAAAATAAAATATTACAATTAATTTATAATTATTTTATTTTTTTTATAAAAGTCAAAAAAATCAAAATATTTATTCCAAATGAGTTTTTTTAGTTCAAGACTAAAATAGCTAAAAAGGTACAAAGTCAATCTACATCCTAAGCGAGCTCTTTGTTTGCTAATAGAATGTTTACTTACAAAAAAAAAAAAAAATTATTGGGATAAAAAAAAAATTCATTTTATTTCTTTTTTATTTTAATAAAATAGTTAAACCAATATTGAGCACATGGTATCGTAATTTAATAAAAATAAGCGGAACATGATATTGGCTGTGTTTGGAATGTTTTTCTAAAGTTAATTCTACCCTTTTATTTGAATTTCATGTTTGTTTACGGTTTTTCAAAGTTAATTCCACATTTAATTTTGAAAACTCTTTCTTAGGCGGGAAATTTTGGACTAACCGATCGTCCTACTGGACGTCCGGCTGGTTGACCAGAACAATATTCTTTTTTTTGTTGCAATTGACACATATTAATTTTTATATATTCGGAATTTTTTTTTTTGAATTTTTTATGAGTTTTAATAGAATTTTGAGTTGTGTGTTTGGTTATGAGTTATAAGTTTTTGTATCAAATATCATATGTCACATCAAAAATTCTCCACTCAATTCAAAATTCTTTCACTAAACAAATTTTCTACACTCAAATCATAATTTCAAAACTCACAAACTCAAAATACAACTCATACTCTCAAATCATATTTAGAAAGCTCTACTAAATGCAACCATATTTTTTCTTTTATTATTTTAATCCTTGGTTTGGCTTTCATATTCGGTTACATAATCACAAAAAGACCCAAAAAAAAAAAAAAGTTACAAAATTACAAAAAGACATAACAGTACCAGATTACCCCATATATAAACAAAAAGTTAAAAAAATATCATTCTATACTAAGGGTAATTTTGTTATTCCAAAGCCAAAAAATCAAAGAAGTCAAACAAGAATGTCAAACAACTAAAAAAATTCCAGGCTAAAAAATTCAAAAAAACCAAAAAATCAATTAAAAAAGTCATTGCCAAACGGCCCCTAAGTTTTATTTGAGTCTAAAATTTTTTAATATACAAAGTATAAAAAAAACATGATATCATTTTGATAATAGGGTTGGCAAATCGGATTAGGTTAGGTTGGATGACCTTTTATTTACTACCTGTCCGAACATAAGCAGATTGAAAAAATATCCATCCATATCTATCTGTTCATACTATTAAAGCTACTTAAAAGATAATAAATTGAGCCGAGTCAATCAATTTTAGTGAATAGATTAGGTTCAAGAGCACGAATTAGGATCCCGTTCTTGAGGTTCCTACTTGACTTCCTACTTGCTAAGTTATTGAGCTCACTTTTAGGCTCAATTTTGATGATCTGAATCTTCCACATTTTAAGATTTGTTGAGTATATCATACCTGTAAAAAAATCAAGTTAATCAGATATCAGAAAACATGTGTTTGGAAAACTGTTTATTAAATTTTTTGAAAAAAGGATTTTTAGTTCGATGATCCGAATGCATATTTTTTGATATCTAATCAACTTGATTTTTTAAAAGTATGATATACTAAACAAATATTAAAATATGAACAATTTAGATTATCAAAATTAAGACTAAAAAGTAAGTCGAATAATTCAACAAGTAGAAAGTCAAAGTAGGAAACTCAAGGAGGATCCCCATTCTGAAAAGCACCTCTACCATTTTTGTATAATCAGATGCATATTTTGATTATGTAGGTATAATCAGTTGTATATTTTGATTAGGAAAAATATTTGGTAACTTAAAATTTTGTGGTTTAAATGAGTCTAATTTGTCAAAATCATATCATTTTATACTCAAAATTTGTCAAAACGATGTCGTTTTGAGTGATTTGAACCATTTGAACCACAAAAATTTGAGCTACCTAACATTGTTGTTTTGATTATTTCTACATAATGAAATCAATCATAATTTTATGAAGAATTTTATTATAAAGATCATATACTATATATACTTTTAGTTACATTATTTTTTTTAGTTATAATTAATTTTTTTTAATTATGATATATTAATTTTTTTTAATTATGATATTAATATATAATTCTACTATTTTTTTTATGTAATTATAAATCCACAGTGTTTTCCTAAATTTATACATCGACATTAAATATATATATATATATATATATCAGTGAGATAACATTTCTCATTCATTGAATTCTATTCACACACTGTCCCATCATGTAAAGAAAGGCTTCCAATTCCAAAGCCAAACTATAAGTCACCATCGTCTCTCTGAATTCAATTCTCTTCTAAGTTGTCACCAACCGCTCAAACCTCTCTCTGATTTTGGACTGTTGGATCCATAAACCCAAGATGAGTATGAAACTAACCCCAACATCTCCCGCCGGAAAATGGGTGGGATTCGTGACCGCCGTCTGGGTCCAAGCCATCTCGGGCAACAACTACACCTTCTCCAACTACTCGGACGCAATCAAGTCCCTCATGGTTCTCACTCAACTCCAACTCAACAACCTCTCCGTCGCCAAAGACGTTGGCAAAGCCTTCGGCATCTTCGCCGGCCTCGCCTCCGACCGCCTCCCCACTCCGGTCATTCTCCTCATCGGTTCAATTGAAGGATTCATTGGCTATGGCGTCCAATGGCTTGTTGTTAGCCAGAAAATCAAACCACTCCCTTATTGGCAGGTATTATTCACCATCTCAATGAAAATGATGATTCTTTCTTTCTATATAATATACGAATTGACTATTTTAATACTAGTAGATAGATAATAACAAAATCATCAAATAATTGAATGAAATCTGCAGATGTGTATATTTCTGTGCATGGGAGGTAACAGTACGACATGGATGAACACCGCGGTGCTCGTAACCTGCATTCGAAACTTCCGGAAGAACAGAGGACCAGTTTCTGGAATTCTCAAAGGCTATGTCGGTTTAAGCACCGCCATATTCACTGATCTCTGTACGGCCCTGTTCTCCGACGATCCTTCAACTTTTCTCCTCATGCTCGCAATCGTCCCCTTCCTAGTCTGCCTCGCCGCCATTCTCTTCCTCCGCGAAATCCCTCCCTCTTCCACCTCCGCCGAAGAAAACGAAGAAATTCGCTACTTTGGAATCTTCAACGCCGTCGCCGTCGCCGTCGCAGTCTACCTTTTGCTCTTCGACGTCACCGGAACTCACGGCGGCGCTGTTTCGCAAACTTTCGCCGCCGGACTTCTCATCCTCTTGGCTTCGCCATTGTCGGTCCCAATCTACCTTGCTCTACAGAGTTTAATTCGATCTGACTCTATATCTAGTTCAGACATCGAGCATACAACAAAACCTTTATTGGAAGAAGAAGAAGAAGAAGAAGAAGAGAGGGAGGTGGTGATGGTGGAGACGGCGGCGAAAGCGGCGGAGGCGGAGGAGGAGAGTCGGCGGCCGGTGATCGGAGAAGATCACACGGTTTGGGAGGCGTTTGGGACGGTTGATTTCTGGATCTTGTTCGGGTCGTTTCTATGCGGAGTGGGGACGGGTCTGGCGGTGATGAACAATCTGGGCCAAATGGGTCTGGCTCTCGGGTACGTGGATGTATCCATTTTTGTGTCGCTTACGAGTATTTGGGGCTTCTTTGGGCGCATCGTTTCGGGTTCGGTTTCCGAGTATTTCATCAAGTAAGTTTATCTGCAAATTTCTTTATTTTCCGTCCAAAATAATTTTGTTTATTGTGTCATTTTAGTTTTAACTTTAATTTTTAATTTTGTGTTAATTTGATTCAATTGATATCATTTCTTAAGGTTTTGACAAAAAATATCACTAAATTGAGCTTAACTTACTGTGTTAAACAAGTTTATAATTTTGTCCCTAAACAAATAACACGGCTTGTCACTTGCTTATGTGCTCATTTTTCATAAAAAAGACTAACGGAGTAATTAATTGGATCAAATTAATATAAAATTATAAATTTATAATTAAAATCGAATCAATTAAAATTGTAAATATCAAAACGACTCAATTATTAAAGTATCGGCACTATTAATCTAATTTATACTTTTAAAACAAAGAAAAGGAGTAGTTTCTTCCTTGGATCATAGTATCTTTTATTTAATAGCAATGATTTAGAGCTCTAAATAAGAAATTCTAAATCCACCATTAATGAGGTAGAAATTAAAAAAAAAAAAAATTAAAAAAAAAAGACACAACATACAATAGGTCCTACTGTCACATCATTAATGGTATTCTAATTAGATCTCAAGTGTTTTTCTTTATTTAATTATGACTCTTGTTATTGAATATCTAAGAATATTAGTTATTATTATTATGTGAGTACGTGATCAATTATGAGTATGAAAATGAATTTTATTAAACTCGATGATTATAATTCAACAATGCATGGGTATAAACACAGTAGCTATAAGAAAGTCTAAATTTGGGAAAGAAAAATAAACCATGCCTAGAGTCCTATTTGAGAGAAGAACAATTAACTTTTGTCATAAGTAAGAACAGTAAATCTATTTACCTAGAAAAACTATCCCAAAAAGTTATCCAGAGTAGTATTATGGGATAGAGATTGAATTAAATGATTGATAATTTTAGATAGATTCTGAACAAATTTTTTTTTTTAGTATTGTGTGTGTTCATGTCTGAAATAAATGATTGATAATTTTAGATAGATTCTGAACACAAAAAAAAAAAAAAAAAATTGAATTTATAGAATTTGTTTGGGAAATGGGTTGATTTTTTGGCTTTTTGGCTATTTTAGGCTGGGACTAAAAAGTCTCGTTTGGGATGGGTTTTTTGGCTTTTTTAACTTTTGTAAAAATAAAAATATGATGATTATGGGTTAGATGTGATATTTTATCTTATTGGACTAAAAGTTTATTTTGTTTTTTTTTTTTATAACTATTTTAGCCAAAAAGCCCCAAACCCACTCTTCTTAAATGAGCACATAGTGCTGGTTTGGCACAACTTATTTTTAGCTTAAGTCAACTTATAGTTGAAAATAAGTTATTTTTGTGTGTTTGGTGTAACTTAATAGTGTAAATTATAGCTTTTTATAAGTTGATTTTCAGCTTTTTCTTTGAGTGAGGGAAGACCAGCTTTTCCATTTCAGCTTAAACGGAAAGCTGAAAATCAAGGGGCAAAATTACTTAAATGCCCCTCGTCAATTTCAACTTTTACCAAAAGCCCAAGTATATAAACTCCCTTTCTCAAAACACTGTTCATTTGCTCACTGGAGAGAGAGAAAGAGAGAGAGAGAGGCGATTTTCGACGAACAAACCAGAGCTCTCTCTCTCTCTCTCTCACGATTTGCTCCTCGTCACCTCCCGTCACCACCGCCATTGCCATCGTGATCTGGATTTGAAACCTAACCACTACCATCTCTCTCTCTCCAGCTGCGTTGTTTTTTGGCGTTGTTTGCCACTGTCAAGATTGACCCGTTCTCTCTCTCTCTATTTGCGATCGTGATTACGATATGAAACCCTAACCACCGCCATCTCTCTCTCTCTCTCTCGATCTGCGTTGTTTGTCGCCGTCGCGATCGCAATCTGCATTGTTCTCTGGCGTTGAAACCCTAGCCATCGGTGGCAGTTAATAAATTAATAAAATAATATGTAATGAATTAATAAATGAAACAAAATTAACAAAAAGAAAGAGGAGAGGTAAAACAGAAAAAAATAACAATTTTTATATTGGTATCAATATTAATTGGTATTAATTATTAATAAATTAATATTGTATATTTTTGTAATGAATTAATTATTAATTGATACTAATTAATAACAATTGTTGATTATTAATATTAATTGATACTAATTAAGCCATTAATTGATTCTAATTAATTTATAATGGAAAAAAATTGTTAAAATAATACTTCCATTATATATTTATCAAATGTATTATGTTCACAGTTATAAGTTATAATTTATAATTACTTTCCCACGACTCTACCAAATGGGGCCATAGAGTGAACCCGAAGCAGCCCACTTAGTTGATAATTATTAATCATTTATGCTACTTTTAAGAAAAATGTAATTTTTTCAAACTTACTAATTAATATTTTCAGGGTATTCCATAATAGAAAATTTTAATTATTACTTCATTCAAATTCTAACGTTTTGTTTTTTAGTGTTTAACTAAAGTACATATACGATGACACAAATCCTTATGTCGTGTCCAACCATGAGCTCAGCAATTCCATCTAGACGTGGTTTTGAACCATTGAATTTTGGGTGGGTATCAACCCAATTGTGAAGCTAAAAATAAATTATATAAATTTTGGGATCAAAATAATCAAATTAATATGATCCAAGGATCCCAAAATTCATATTTTCCAAAACATTCAAAATTATTGGATAGCGTGAGAATTTCATGATATGATAATTTAACTATCGAGTCTTTTGAGATGGGACGCATATTCATTATTCTCAAAACACTCATAATTATTAGATCACATAAGAATTTCATGATATAATTTAACAATTGAGTCTTTTGGGATGGCATGAATTTCTCAAAACACTCCGATAATAGGAGCCTAGGATGCCTCTCTGCTCCCCTGTCCTCACCACTGCTCTGAATTCGGGTTTTTGGCTTGGAATTTTGGTGGATGGTTTGCCTGTGGGGACTTTAAATGAAACGAAAGTGCAAAAACTTGTAGAACTAACATATTTTTTGGAGCATAGTGGGGTATGGCCCCCCATCCTCCTTCCTTTGTCCTCCATTCACTGATGTGTAGTAGCCTTATGGTCCAACAGATGAGCCAAGCACAGCTTCATGGCTTCGATGCTGCGAACTTGTCAACTTTTGTACTGTGTTTTCGTCTTTTAGGGCAGTATTTTCGTCTTTTTATTACTTTCTTGCCTTTGGTGCTTGATGTATGAGAGTCAAAAACGGGTTGGTGTATAGAAGTAGCAATTCTCTCAAGGAAAACACTCTGACACGTGGAAAAAAAAATTCTGATTCCAGACATTGATTTTGTATAAATTTTATGTTTGTTTATTGTTACTTTTATTTTAAAGTCCTAACTTAAGAAAGGGATTAGCTCCTTTTGAAGTTTGAAGAAAAGGGGTTATCATCACTGGGAATGGCAACTTTTACTTTCGAATCGAATTATGTGTGGGAAGACTTAAAAAGGCTCCATTAATTAGGCTAAAGTACCCTTCACACCCTTATTATAAATTTCACCCATCTGTTTATAGATATGAGTTGAGGAGGGATTTCCTGACCTACCTTTTGGTGGGGACACCAAATATTCAAATCTTAGTCACTCTCATGGTCTCATGGCACCATATTAGATTAGTATTTTAACTATGCAATTTTTTTTTAATAGGAACCTTCATAAACTGAGAAAATTCGCTCTTACCCATCAAGATTTAGTGGAATGGCATATATTATTACTAGTTGATTTATTTTACCAATGTAAGTGCCGATCGCGTAAAGAAGATGCTACCGACGACGAAGCACTACTTTCTTTGGTTGGCTCATAAAGTTGGGATATGTTTTGACCTTTGTGAAAGCAAAAGTTGTATGGTATGGACAAATTGCTAAATGTTACAGAATATTATTGCCCATTCTTGAAGGCACTGGGTATTGAGTCCCTTTTGAGCTCTTATAGAACATGGACCTTTATGGTGTGTTTGGTTGAGGGATTTGGGGAGGAATTTGGAAAGGGAAATAGAAAATGTAAGTGAAATGTGAATAAAACATGCCTATATTTTACCTAGTTTCACGCAACTTTTCCCTTTCTCTTTCCAAATCCCTGCCAAAATCCCTCAACCAAACACAGCATTAATCTTTTAGTCTGGTCTGCCAAATTGGGTTTCTATTGCTTAGTTCTCATATATTCTCTCATTCCTTTCACGTTGACATAGAAGTTTGGTTAGGATTGTCTGATGCATCCATTCTAATTCTAATAGGCCAAGTTTGGGAAGACTAAAAAAGTGCATTTTTTGTCTTTTTAGACTAAAAAATTGAGGTTGAAAATATGGATGTTTGGGTTAACTATCGTAAAAATTGGTTTGTAGAGGAAAATTTGAATGGGGAGTTGTGCAGCCGTAATTGTTGACTTTTGGTGAATAGTGTTAACTTTTTAACTTTTTGAGTAACTTTTTGGCTTTTTGGCTTTTTTGGATCTTCCCAAACTTACTGAAGTGTCTTTTTTATTTTAATACATTGAAAATTCTTACTCTAGCCTAGTCTAAGGGAAGAGAAAAGGATGTTGGATAGTGTAATTTCTTTTTTATTTTAATACATTGAAAATTCTTACTCTAGCCTAGTCTAAGGGAAGAGAAAAGGATGTTGGATAGTGTAATTCGTAATAAGTATGGGACATCAACAACTTGACTACAAAATACAACTTTACAGTAAGTTGGCAGAGGTTGTAGTATTTTGGTACTTTCACACTTGTATTATGTAGTCCTAATACTACATCATATGTATGTAGTTGGGAGGTTAACCGTCTTTGTACTTCATTGGTAACTCTTTTTGTTCAAAGTGAAACCACGACAACAGTGGACATAGTCCTAGATTTTTTGTGAACAATATAAATCTTGTATTCTTTTGTGCGTGCACGATTTACAATTTTTTTGTTATTTATTTATTTATTTTTTTGTGTGTCACCGAGTTAACTGTTCTATAAGGCAGTTGGGGATAGAACCGAACTGCACAAGTAGGAGCATCAAGGCTTTATCCACTAGGCCCACTCATTTGTACCAAAGTTGAAAACTGATTCTCTCATACTTGTAAAACTTTTTATCTACTATAACCAAGTTGAAGATTGAATCTTCTGGGCAATTAGTAGGCATTGATTCTGGTTTGTTACCCAATTTTTCATTTTGCAGGAAAGCTGGAACACCAAGGCCTCTCTGGAATGCAGCATCTCAAATCCTCATGGCTGTTGGGTACATTGTAATGGCCATAGCTTTGCCCGGTTCGCTATACATCGGTTCAATAGTGGTCGGGATATGCTACGGAGTTCGTCTTGCTGTCACGGTTCCCACAGCCTCTGAATTATTCGGCCTCAAATATTATGGCCTCATCTACAACATCCTAATCCTCAACCTCCCACTCGGTTCGTTCCTCTTTTCTGGCCTACTTGCCGGATTCTTATATGATGCACAGGCTACAAGCACGGCCGGAGGCGGCAACACATGTATAGGTTCCCACTGTTACAGGCTTGTGTTTGTGGTCATGGCTATTGCATGCATTGTCGGGTTTGGTTTAGATGTCTGGTTGGCGGTCAGGACAAAGAACATCTATGCCAAGATTTATGCGAGCAAGAAGTTGAAGAAATCGATGGTGGTATCAAATGGGCGCTGACTGAATGCTGAAAATGACAGTACAAGGGGAAGAGATGTATAGGATTAGTGGGTAACAACCCAATGATAATCGGGCTGAGCATTTAATATTGGATCACTTAATTTTGGTTTTTTATAAACAAGAATCGATCCTACCCGCTAACCTTACATATAGGATGAAATAAGACATCACGACTCGAAACTAGGACTGACTTAATTGAATCTGGACTGACTGTTTGAGCACTATTGGATGTCTCTTAGAAAAGAAGAATTGTTGTATTGCTAAAGTTTTCCACATGTTGGTGACAGTAAGATTTGTATGGACTGGCTTTTCATAATTCTAGATGCTCCAATTGTAACAGCTTCGTATGCTTTTTTCTTTTTTTTGGAGATTTTAGTAGAGCACTTTTATTAGTTGGATATGGAGTAATTATATTTTCTATGACACTAATGTTATGTGGACAGGAAAATAAATAAATAAAAATATACAAAAATTAAGAGCATTCAGACTAAATGTTTGATTTTGAAGCTTTTGAAACAATAGTCTCAAATTTTATTTGAAATATCATATTATTCCTATCTATCTATCTATCTATCTGTCAACTTGTCAACTTACTTATTCACATATCACCTATTTATTCATCACTGCATCCGATAACTTTTTTTGTATTTTTTATAATGACAGTGATTAGTAGTAGTATTTGAAAATAGAGAGAAATTACAAATAAAAAAAAGTGAGTATAAAATTGTCACAAATATAATTTTCACTCAACGAATACAAAAAATTTGTCATTTTACCCTTAAAAGATCTGACCTTGCCCTTTAATGTTCCCCATTTGGATTTATCACTAACTTCTTAAAAAAATTAATGGGTAGCCACCATCAGTTTTTTTTTTTTTTTTGGTGCTCCTAGTATTATAATTTATATGTAGGGGTAAATTTGGGCTTCGGACTGAAGTCGGTTTGTTTATGGGCTTATATTGTCTTCTTCTAGTATAGTTTTTTAGAGTTCCATTGTGGGCATGGGCATGACCATAACCATCTCTTGTTGTGTCATTCCCAAGAGGCTTTGCTTGTGCTCAGTAGGACAGGACCACGAGGACGAGGTTGCAATCTATGTGGGTGTTGGGAAGTGGATTTTTTTGTAGATTTTTTTAGCTATAGGATATTATTAGAGAAATTTTTTTTTTTGTGTTTGGGAAGATAATTGAGTTTTTTTGTGATTGGATGTGATGTTTGTGAGAGAAAAAGTGAAATGATTATGAGATTTGATGTAATATTTTGTTTGAATTTGTTTTTTTTTTTGGTTTTGTAACTAATTTGTCTTCTAGTGAAAAAAAACCAAAAAATTTACTTCCCAAACACCAGGAGTAGAAACATGTTTTGAGAATTGAGTGTTTGGTTTTCAGAAATAATTTTAAACGATAATAAAATAATTGTTGTTTGGTAAGCATCAATTCTTAAATTAGTGAATGGCAAAATTTGTCTTCTAAGCCTGCTTATGCTCTTGCAAAAAAATTTGAGACATCTCTTCTTCTTCTTTTTTTTTTTTAAAAAATTATGAATTTAATTATTAATATTTATAAATTTTACCACTAATTTAAAAATATTTTTAAAAAGATGCCCTATGTTGTAATTCCCCCTTAGGTTTTTCACTCATGTGAGTACCTTCCTCTTGTATCGTATCTCGTGTTGAAATATTTTAATAAAAATAAAACACAATATTTAACTTTAAATTATTTTTTATCCAGTTTCAAGATTCATATATCTTAATAATCAAATATTCTATTATAATATTTTATATCAAATCATTACATTCGATGTGCATTAGTTTTTACTGTCTTACAAAAATTATTTCTCTTAAATGGTTTTTCTCTCTTCTTTTTTTCCGATCGTTCCGCGTAGGGGGGAGGGGGACCTATTGAAGGTCAATTTCTGTGCCGACAGTGCTTCAATCCAGTTGATCTGGGTTTCTTTTTCCGCGTTGACTTGGTTTCCCCTCCCCTCGGTCTCGTTGGTAGATCTGGGTTTAATCTGCTTTTATAGGTGTTTTCCGGTGGTCTAGTTGCTGTCCTCTTTTGTGTTTTCCGGCGATTTCTGCGGCTTGTTTCCGCTTCGTGGATTAGGTGTTTCACGGCGAGACCACTCGTTTTCTAAGGATTTTGCTGGTGAGCTTTCAATTACACTTTCTGGGTGCTTGGAACAATGCTCAAGCAAGGCTTTTTGCTTAACTCTAAAGTGGTCCCCAAACGTCTTTCCAAAGAAGAGAAAAGCAAAGGCATTGTCATGTCAGGGGCTTGTGCTCAGGATAAGTTGCAGGGTTCCTTATCCCCTGACTTATTATCCGTTTTGGACCCGTTGGACATGGCTCTAATTCAGGATTCTCTGGGTGATGATTTTCAATTTGATTGGGATGCTGCTTTGGAACATCTACAGCCTAAAGTGAGCTTGGATGATACAATCTTTCCACTGCCAAAAGGCCGTGAACAACCTGGGTCTTCTAATACTGGTGTTGCTGTTGAACCGGGTGGTCATTCTCCGTGTAAGGATCATGGACCAGGAAATGGAGCAGGGTGGGTTTGTGGCAATGTCATCAGAGAGGGGCCTCACAGTGGGTTTGGTTGCAGTAAGGATAGTGAGGTTGATGTGTATGGTACTTCGCTCAACAAGGCTAATAAGCCCACGCCGAAGGTCAAGCGTCCAAGAAGAGTGCATTTGGGCAAGGATTTTCTCCTCATTGATCGTAACTCGTGTCAGGCTCTTCAATCCGGTGGACCCTTTCAGTTTTTACACCGACAGAGTTTGTCGGTTGTTGAAGTTCGCATTCGTGGATACTCTGACCCAATTCTACAAGCTGCAGTAGTGGATATTGAGATGGAGGCCCCATCCCTGGACGTTCTACCTACTCCTTCCCAATCTTGTGAAGAGCCACTACAACCATCACCACCAAATTTGCCAACTCTTCAACCGCCTTCCTCGGTTATTAGTGATTGTGAAATGGAGGAGCAAGAACCGACTTCTGGAAAAACTTCTTTGTCTGATAATTTTATGTTTTGTAGTGTAGGTCGGTCAAAAAGAATTCGTGCTCCCATACCTCGTCGTCCTAAATCCTCTAAATTGATCTTCGACATTGCTGCTGGTAAATGCAAGTGGGAGCCACGAATTGAAGATTCTTACTCTCATCCCAGTCTTTTCAGGCCACCTCGGTGTCGAGCTTTTGGACTAGGCTAGGGACTCTTTTGGTGGTGCTTGTTTATTCTACTTTTATTTGTACTCATGTTTACTATAACTTGTAATGTTATTATCTTGCTTATTAATCTATGGTGATTTCATCGTTCTCAAAAAAAAAAAAAAAAAAATTACTAATAGTCACTTTAGTAGCTATATAAAAAATTACTTTAAAAATCACTTTGCAGAATTTAGACTCCTTTGTATCTCTACCTACAATATTCTTAGAGATTGTAGCTTTGCTAGATATTGGACGAGTGGATCAAAGTTAACCATATGTTAACCACTCCACTGTTTTATCTCCTATTTGGTTTTGTGCTTTAGTCAAGAGCTTCATCGTCTCAACAAAATCATATACCAATTCTCATCGATCTTATGTAAGATCTTAATTTTAATAATCGTGATCAGTACTAGAACGTTAAAACTGTTCAATCCAATTACAACTTATTTAGCTCCAAACACAAGTCTTTTTTGTCCAAGCACTACTAAAAAAAGAGGGTTTTTGAGTCGGCAATATACCGTCGCAAATAACATATCTGCCGATGCAAAAAGTTTTTGCGACGGCAACTCGAAAGACGAAAATGGTGTGGTCACAAAGAGTTTTTGAGTCGGCAAGTTGCCGACGCAAAAAGTTTCAATTTTTTGAGACGGTAAGTTACCGATGCAAAAAGTGGTTAAATGTTTTAAAAAATCTAACTCATGATTTCCTCATCAACACTCCCAAGATTCAAATTCACTTCATCTAGGTAACTTGAACCCAAATGTACCACACTTAGTCCACTGCACCAATACTTCTTTCTGATTTTAAATGAGATATATATTATTTATAGTATATACACTTAATATTAATATAAAAGCATATGCATAAACAAATATATTTATTAAATACAATCGAGTAAATATATATATCTTGAGCATAAAAATAAATATTTACTACGTCAGCAAATTCAACCGACTTAAAATGCCCTTTGATTAGTAGTGAAGCCTAAAGTAGTCACTCCATACTGCCATGACTATGGTCCCTGTTTCATATGCAGGGCGTGCAACTTCAAGCCATTATTGCTTCCCTGTAGGTTATGGGTGAGAATGTTACTCACGTTCGTATTGTTTCATTTCGAAGTTATTTTTCAAAAAAATTATAAGGAATTATATACATAATTTTTTTGCCTGTAAAATAAAAATAGAATAATAGAGTAACAAAATATAAATTTATTGATTTAAAATAACATCATTACAATCTCTAGGATATTTTTGTACAAAAGAATGATTCTTCAATTTTTTTTCTTTAACAAGTTGACTCAAGAACTTAATAGTTTGTTTCCGAATTGAATGGCGAGATCTCCTTCAATTAACGCGAAAAAGATGATGAATTTGTAAGATTTTGACTTGAGAGCTCTATAGCTTTTTCTTAAATCAGATTGTAGAATTCTCTCCAATTTAGTAAAAGACGATAAATTTGACGAATTTTGACTTGAATTTCCAAACTTTATATAAATTTTATGGAGATTGATAAACTTTGGTGAAGAGACCTTCGGGATTTTGGAATTTTAATCCAATGGAGTTTTTTTTCTTGACTTGATGTAGATTTTTGTCTTTACAACTTTATTTATGTATGTAGAATTAAATGAAAAATTGTATGTAAAATTCTGGTAGAGATCACTCTATTCATAGGAATGAACGGTGGAAAGTCTTAACAGACTTAAACTTCTTTGATAATTATCTCCCATTTATTTAGAGATAAATATCAAAAGGTGTGGCATAATTTTATTGGCTTGATCATCTCAATGTGATAAATGACTTACTTTGATTAGCAAAAGACTTATTTGCTGCATCACTTGAATACATGACAATATTTGACTTGACCATCATGTAATCTTCTATTTGGGACTAATTAAATACATGGCGAGATTTGATTTGTCAATAATTATGCCATATTTTGTAAGCCTTTATAAAACATGACAATTTATGATTGGTTGAATTGTTACATGCTTACAAGAATAAACAACACATGAAAATAGAAAGAATCAATCCACACAAACATATTATTAGACAAGATGGCCCATGTCCACAAGTTATACCAATTCCACATAGTATGAAAAAAAGAAAAGAAAAAAAGAAAGAATATCTGCCGAATCCTACTTTCGGTTATGTTATAAAAACTACTGTGAAGACAAATAATATATATGTAATAACAAGTTATTGTAATATTTATTTTTTTTAAACACCACAAACTACTGTAATACCTTTAATACAAGTCGCCTCGAGGGCACAACCGCTGAACCCCACCTTTGGATAGGGGAATTTTCAACCTCCTAGTGAAATGTACACTGTTAGGTCCCTGTGTTGTCAAATCCGGACTACTTTCGGTTATGTTATAAAAACTACTGTGAAGACAAATAATATATATGTAATAACAAGTTATTGTAATATTTATTTTTTTTAAACACCACAAACTACTGTAATACCTTTAATACAAGTCGCCTCGAGGGCACAACCGCTGAACCCCCTTTGGATAAGGGAATTTTCAACCTCCTAGTGAAATGTACACTACTATTCAAATTCCACAATCTCAACTTCTTTACACTAATCACTTTAATTTTTTCATGTTATTGTGTTGCCGATTTGAATTTGTGCTGTATTAACGTGTCATGTTCAAAATTCATCCAATGATTCAAGGGGGCAGTCCGATTTTCTCAAGTTCGAATAATTCAAGTAAAAGTATAATTGTCAAAAAGTAAACATATATTTAAATTAAAATAATGCTAAAATACTCAGAATATTTAATCTATAATGTAGATTCATTTAAAATGTAAGTTCTATTATATAAGAATTTAATCCAAACCATGCGTTATCTTTTTTAATATAATTCTATACATAAATTATTAAGGCTCACCACTAACACTCTGATAGAGGTTCTCAAGTATCACGCCAACAATAATGGGGGAGTTTGGGCAGATGAGTTTGAGGCTAAAATAGCTTCAAACTAAAAAAAAACTAAAAAGTCCCTAAACCAACACTTTATATTTAAAAAAAAAAAATAGCTAAAATCGTGGGCAGTGTAGGCACAACCTACACTGTTACATTGACAAGTTGTGTCATCTCTTGATAAATGCCGATTTTGCTCCTTTACATCAAATTTGAAAAAATGTGATCTTAGGGACAAATTTGTCATTTTAACTTCAAACATAATTTCAACACATTTTTCAATCCAACAACTCAAATAAAAATTCATCCAATCTTCCTAAACACAAAAACTAAAATAGTCTACTAAAATAATCAAAAAGTCAAAAAATCTCTAAAGTAGTCACTTCCCAATTACCCACAATATCAAACTCACTTAGGACTGTTCCCCTAGTCACAAGATTACTTTGTTGGAACGGGCTTTGTGTGATATGATTGGTCCATATTCCATCAAAAGAGAGATTCACATGTTTTTGTTTGGTTCCTACTAAAATGACACCAACTTGACATGAACAAACAAAAGGACCAACCCCACCCCCCAAAACAAGAACAACAATCCTAGGCACAAGAAAAATCGTTTCAAATATTATTCCTTATAGTATATGTAATCCATACTATATCGGTGTTATTTGGTACAATTTATTATAAACTAAAATATGATAATCAAAAGTAAAAGTCAAAAGTATCCCTTACTCATCTTTCAGATATTTAAGATATTTTTACCTTCATTAACTATAAGTAGAAGATAAGTTACGCTAAATAATCTTATTAGGGAAAATTTCACTTCACCCCCCATGGTTTGGGTCGGGTGCAGTTTACCTCATTGATTTTCGTATATCACCACATAACCCTCTTGTGGTTGATGGATTAAAATGCACGCTAACTTTTGTTAATAGAAGTTGTAAATTGACAATTATACCCTCATATATATATATATATATTATTTTAAGGGAAATCCAGTTCTCTCTCTTCATCTTCATCTTCATCTTCTTTTTCTCTCTCTCTCTCCATTTCTGGGTTCAGATCCGAAAAATAATGTGCACTTCATCTTTTACTCTGCATTTTATCTTTTACCGTGTCCAACTTATAATATGCACCGGCAGCCACTTTTAAGAATTTTTGAGCCCATTTTGAAGAATGCCAGTAAGGAACTTCTTCAAGGAAGTCACACAAGATCTATCTCCATCTCAACGCCTTCAAATAGTGGCATGATGAAATTTGTTAAGAAGCAACTTAGTTGCATTGGCTGCAAGGCTCTAATCAGGTAGAGTTCAAATGCTATGCTGTTTCCATGTTTCGTTACTTCATGCGAGGACTAAATCCTTCCATTGTTTTTCTAAATTTTTTTTATACTCCTCACTATTGTTAGATTTTTTTTTTAATTGGAAATTAGCTTCAACAGACAAAGACTGCAATTCTTCAGTGATTCCCATAATAATCACAAACCTTTTCTGGGTTCTCTACTTTTTGGACTTGAAATCATTGTTGATTTTTGTTGCTTCTGTGGGTACTTTAAATATATATATAGCTACAAATTATATATTTATACACATTAATTTTTTATAGAAATTATATTGTTTAAACTAATTTTGGTTTTTATTTTGGATTGCAATTTTAGAGAGGAGGAAGACCCATAGCATGTCTTTGCAAATCTAAAGATGCTCTAGGGGTATTTTCGTCTTAAAATGTAACTTACTCTCTGTATGGGCGTTTGAACTATACAATTCGTTAACTTGGATGGAAAAGTGAATGGTGCGTTTTAGTCCATCAATTACAAAGGGGTTTTGTGGTGATATTCGAATGTTAGGAAGTAATCCGTACATGACCCAAACTATAGAGGGTAAAGTAAAATTTACCCATCTTATTAATTATAAATTTATACTATACATTATAATTTGAGATATTTTTAAAAAATAAATAAAAGTAAAATGTCACCTCACTGTAGTTGGTTGGTGCTGGAAGCATTGGCTCATAATTTAAAGGAAGGAGGGGATACAAAGAAGCCAACCCCCAAAGGTACATTTCCATTAAAGAAAAAAAGTAACAAAGCAACAATAAATGAAAAGGTTGACATATATGTCTCTTGCTCCTAATTGTTGACCTACTCAGGCCCTTATGAGAGCAGGTAGTTTGAAAAAATTGTCCTGCGAGTATCGCATATTTATCTGATATTACGTGTATTGATATAGGACTATTTTGATAGGTTAGTTGAAAGTTAATTTTTTAATTTTTTTTTAAATCATATTATTATTATTATAATTTTTTAAAAAAAATATAAAATTAACTTTTAATTTATTTTTCAAAACAAGCCATAGTCACACTTATATTGCGTCCGCAATACGCGTATTTTTGGAATGTGTATGTTTTGAGTGCTTCTCAGGTACTATGAGACAAATAATCATATATATACCAGAGACCTATGTGTGTGTGTTTCTATTTGTTTTTCGAAAAAAAATAAATAAGCCTATTTTTGGAATGTGTTTGTTTTGAGTGCTTTTTGGATATTTCGAAACATAAATAATTATATATATATATATATATTTTTATAAATTTTACCGTCTCGCGTAGCAGTTACACGCATCTGTATCAGCATTCATGCTTCCTAGATCATTCCACTGTTCCACTTGTGACCTCTCTCTCTCTATATATAGGTACATATATATATTCACCCTTTTGTTTCTTTGTAGAGTTTCTTGGAGAAGAGAGTCCAGATGTATGTTTGAATTCATTCACATTCTTTGCAGAAACCAGAAAAGAGTATGAAAGGCCCTCCATCCTTTTGCCTCTGGCTTGTCTTTCTCTTCCATGGCTCTTCCTTGGCTTCTTATGGTTCTCTCTCTCTCTCTCACACACACACACACACACAAACACACACACACAGTGATACATCCATTTCACTAAAGTTTTATAATGGAAATTTTCAATTTTTTTTTGTTTTCTTCCCGCAGATGGGCCTCAATACGATTTTTCTGCTTACACAAAGGTAAATAGAAAGCACATTGACTTCTTTTTTAGCGTTCATTTTCATTTCAGTTATATGTTTAGGCATTGTTAAACCCCTTGCTTTTACAAACATTAGGCATTGTTTGGTAACGTTTTATTTGTGCTTTGGTTATAAAAATTGGAAACAAAAACACGTTTGGTGATTTTTTTTCGTTTTTTTAATTTTTTAGTGACAACGGTGTCCAAATTTTCTAAAATTTTAAAAATATATAAAAAATTTAAAAAGAAAGAAAGTATTTTCACTTATTTTCAAAACAATTATGCTTGCATTCCCTCGTCCCTTCTCCACCACCATTTGCCACCACCCACGTTGGCCATCACCTCTAATCACCTGCCACCAACTTCAACCTCCCCACCTTTGGACACTGTGGGGATATATTTTTTGAGTACCAACACGTGGCAAGGTGACTCCGAAGTGTCAGCCGAGGTGCCACGTGTCCTGGTCGTGACGCCGAGGTGATCTCGGCAAGGCCGGGGTTATCTTCGAAGATATCAGAATTCGAGATAAGCGGATAAAGGACAAGAGTCTTAGAATAAAGAGGGAACTCAACCTAGATATGGACAAAAGTCCTAGATTTGGAGAAGACTTCAGTTTGGGTAAAGATGAGACTCTTAGAGAGTTTATCCTAATCTTATTGGGAGTCCAAGATTAGCAGTAATCCTGAGTCCATAGAAGTTAGGCTTCTATTGGGACTAGGTTTATGTTGGCTATAAAAGAGAGGCACCTCCCATGGGTCTAAGGTATGCTTTTGATATTCAAGCTTGTGAGTTTAGCACTTGATTTATCTTTGAGAGATACACTGATTTGATCGTCGGAGTGTCCCCGGGTGGACGAACCACCGCCGGAATCTTCTCTTTCTGTTGCAGGTTAGCCAGGTGCCATCTATTCTGCGGGTGCTCTCCAGTTGGTTACTAAGCGGGCAGTGTGGTCAGAAAATCACCCACACAATTTGGCACCGTTTGTGGGAAAGAAAGAAGAATAGATGGCCAATGACGGACAGAAGGATCAGATTAGAGACAATGCTCCTGCTGGGAGTGGGAGACCTATCGATCTCGACGTTAAAGGACGACCGTAACACAGAAACTCGTGACCAGAGTCACGGAGTGAAAGACGCCGACCAGGAAGGTAACGCACCAAAGATAACAGATCGAAGCGGATACTACAACGAATATGACCTCCAGGTATGGAAGGATAGATCCCTGCGGAGGAACGAAGACCCTTCCAGAAGGGATGCAAAGACAGGGGGGCATGAGCGCTCCCAAGGAGATAACATTCAAGTATAGAAGAGCTCAACCTGAGTGAGCAAATCTCGGATCCCAGATCCCAGAAGACATGATCTCGGCCTAAATGAGTAGGTCCGAAAAAAGAAGAGCTCAACCTGAGTGAGCAGATCCAAGATTCCAGAAGATAAGATCTCGGGACCTGAGTCCGAGAAGAGAAGAGCATAATGAGCAAATCTCAGATCCCAGAAGATAAAAAGGAAACACACAAAATCAGACTAAAGTTGGCCAGAATTGAGAAGTATGCTAGGGCTGAGGAGGACATGTCGAGAACAAAGGCGTCAGAACAAGAAAAGAGAAACGGCTCGTCGATGCGAGGCCGAAATCAAACTCAGGTTGGAGCCAAGTAAGATCAATAGAGAAACCAAGGCCGACAACCTCGGCGACAAGGTCGAAGCTACATGTATGATGAGAACCCAAGTGGATTTTAAGTTCACACTGGGGGCGTAGAGAAGAAGAATGCGTTTACCACTTATTGAAATTTGTATACAATTTACAAGTTGGTTAAACTGAAGTATGCTTAACGCTTGTTGAAATCTTGTAACCAATTTACAAGTTGAATTAAAGCCGAGTAATTGTTTATCTTCACTTGTTGAAATTATGTAGCAATTTACAGTTGAGTTAAACCGAGAGTAGCTTCAAACTTGTTGAAATTTGTAAATTTTTACAAGTTGAAGTTAACCGAAGTAATGCTTAACACTTGTTGAAATTTGTAGCAATTTACAAGTTGAAGTTAGCCGAGATAATTGTTTTATCTTCACTTGTTGAAATTTGTAGCAATTTACAAGTTGAAGTTAAGCCGAGATAATTGTTTTACCCTTCACTTGTTGATTTGTAGCAATTTACAAAGTTAAACTTAAGCCGAGATCCATTGTTTTATCTTCACTTGTTGAGATATTTGTAGCAATTTACACAGTTGGAAGTTAAGTCGACGAGTAATTGTTTACCTTCACTTGTTGAATTTGTAGCAATTTACAAGTTGATAAGTTAAACGGAATGATATATATGTTTAACACTTGTGAAAATTTGTGGCAATTTTACAAGTAGATCATTGTTTAGCACTTGTTATAACTTAAGAAAAGTTTACGAAGTTGAGATTAAACTAGTATATGTTTATCCTTGTTGAAATTTGTAAGCAATTTACAGGACAAGTACTTGCTGAAGTAAAATGTCAGGTGGCATAACCGAGGTGTGTCACCCCGAAAAGATTGCACAAAGAAGGAAAAGTACATAAGATATGCAAAATATTCTAAGTATAGAATCATGCGAGAGCAGTTAGAAGAAGATCAAGACAGAATTCATGGTAATTGACACGCTCTCGCCATACAATATCATCATGGGAAGGCCATGGTTGCATGTAATGGGGGCAGTTCCCTCAACATTGCACCAACTACCGCGGTTCCCAACAGAACATGGGATTGAAGAAGTCAGAGGAGATCAACTGCAGGCGGAGAATTGCTTCATGGCAGCAATGAAATCCACCTGCAGCATTCGAGAACCAGAGAAGGCAGAGATTGAAAACGAGGACATAGAGGTACTAGATGATGTCGGCAAGGAGCCAGCCGAGAGGAGTGAAGAGGCACTGAAAATCCTCGTCCAGGAGGGGGATGAAGAACGCTTATTTCTTCTCGGCTTAGGCTTAGCCGAAGAAGAAGAAAGGGAATTAGAAGCATTTTTGAGAGCAAACATTGAGGTATTTGCTTGGACACCTTACGAAATGCCTGGCATTGACCCCGAGGTCACTTGCCACCAACTGAACGTCGACAGAACGGCCAAACCTGTAAATCCAACGAGCAAAAGGACCGACGTTGATGCACGTCGAAGCAGTAGAGGAAGAAGTAGACAGACTTCTGGAGAACAGGGCCATTCGAGAAGTCAATTACCCGACATGGCTATCAAATACAGTGGAAGAATGAATGATAATCAAGGAGCAAGGAATGTTAACATCGGCCAACAACAGACATTTTTCAAAAGCAAAAAAGGTTGCATATGCAAAGAAAACAAAAGTACAAATATGAAGACCCTAAGAACTAGGGACTAGGATAAGAACGTCGGACTAATCTACTACAACGGTTGACAGTGGTTCAGCATTGGCAGTCAGCTGGGAGAGCTTCTCTACCATTATCTCGGCAACAATTTCAAGAAGGAAACAAAACTACGCGGCATCAATGGCAGGATATAGAAGACAGTTGAGAAGACTTCTTAGCAGCCTTCTCAGCCTTGAGCTCAGCATCGATCTCCTGAAGAGTTTGATCAAGGCTCTTCTCGGCGATTGGCACCTCGGAGTTTGAAGGCAAGGATTGAAATCAAGAATTTGGAAAAAGACACAGAAAACAGAAACAAGAATGTAATTCGTAATCAAGAATGGTATTGAAGCTATTAGGAAATCAAGACAAAAAGATTGCACAAGTGTGTCAAACCAAGAACAGTGGCAGAAATCAACAGATGTGTGAACAGTGTGTATTCAAGAAGATAATTTGGAAACAACGGGTAAAACAGTAATGGTGATTAACAATGAAGCAGAGCTTCTTGGAAAGCAACAATAAATAAAATCAGGAGGAACAGTGGCTTACCAGAAAGAGAAAAAGCCAGAGGATTGAATGAAAAAAGAGAAAAATAGTCAAGAAGACGACAAAGTTCAAGAATAAAGCCAAGTGCACAGGCACTAAGTAAGTATGTGAAGAATAAGAAAGTAATGACTCAGACACGATGCTAGCAACAGAAAGCGGATATGACAAGAACAGTGCCAGGCATTCAAACAATTCAAAACTTAAAGACAGATGAAAATAGAAGACAACAGAGAGCAAGTAAACGGATTCAGAAGAGTTATGAAAGATTGAGCTTAACAAAAGAATTTATGAACCTACCAAATGAACGCCGATATAAAGATCGCCAGAGTCAAATAGGTGACTGGAAATCAGGAAACCCACCGGAGAGTGGGCTTTAAAGGGAAAGTCATTAAAGTATAGACTTTAGGTCCCATTTTAGAAAAGATCTCAATCTTCCTAACATAATCAAAAAAGTAATAATACAATTTTTTGCCTTTTTTTTTTAAAAAAAAAGGCCCAGTTTAGATATGGCATTTAGAAAACTCAAAAAAAAAAAAAAGAAAAAGGCGACAAAAGAATTGTACCTTGGGTGATGTACCTGTCAGGCAGCGTACGCAGAAACGACGCAAACCTGATAAACGCGTACAAGCCAGTAAGGGATGAGCGCATGAACAAAACGGTTGAGGAGCGTATGCATGGTAGCTCATACGCAGTTGCAAAGCTTCTGGAGTTTACAAATTGATGGAACCATAAACCTCGGCTAGGAGGTGCGATCTCAAGTAGCCTGGAAGGCATAAATCTTGATACTTGACACAAGTGGACAGTAAGGTCCAAGGAACTTTGAGGTCGGCGAGTTTGATCTCGGACAGAGGGGCACAGATGAACGAACAGTGTAGGTTCCATCACCTTAGAATGTCGAGGTAATAGAACCTAGGGGGCAGTTGTGGGGATATATTTTCTGAGTACCAACACGTGGCAAGGTGACGCCGACGTGTCAGCCGAGGTGCCACGTGTCTTGGTCGTTGTGCCGAGGTCATCTCGGCTAGGCCGAGGTTGGTTATCTCCGAAGATATCGGAATCCGAGATAAGCGGATAAAGGACAAGAGTCCTAGAATAAAGAGGGAACTCAACCTAGATATGGACAAAAGTCCTAGATTGGAAGAATACTTCAGTTTGGGTAAAGATGAGACTCTTAGAGAGTTTATCCTAATCTTACTAGGAGTCCAAGATTAGCAGTAATCCTGAGTCCATAGAAGTTAGGCTTCTATTGGGACTAGGTTTATGTTGGCTATAAAAGAGAGGCACCCTCCATGGGTCTAAGGTATGCTTTTGATACTCAAACTTGTGAGTTTAGTACTTGATTTATCTTTGAGAGATATACTGACTTGATCGTCGGAGTGCCCCCGGGTGGACGAACCACTGCCGGAATCTTCTCTTTCTGTTGCAGGTCAGCCAGGTGCCATCTATTCTGCCGGTGCTCTCTAGCTGGTTACTAAGCGGGCAGTGTGGTCAGAAAATCACCCACATAGACACACTAACGTTTGAAAAAATTGTCCTGCGAGTATCGCATATTTATCTGATATTACGTGTATTGATATAGGACTATTTTGATAGGTTAGTTGAAAGTTAATTTTTTAATTTTTTTTTAAATCATATTATTATTATTATAATTTTTTAAAAAAAATATAAAATTAACTTTTAATTTATTTTTCAAAACAAGCCATAGTCACACTTATATTGCGTCCGCAATACGCGTATTTTTGGAATGTGTATGTTTTGAGTGCTTCTCAGGTACTATGAGACAAATAATCATATATATACCAGAGACCTATGTGTGTGTGTTTCTATTTGTTTTTCGAAAAAAAATAAATAAGCCTATTTTTGGAAAGTGTTTGTTTTGAGTGCTTTTTGGATATTTCGAAACATAAATAATTATATATATATATATATATATTTATAAATTTTACCGTCTCGCGTAGCAGTTACACGCATCTGTATCAGCATTCATGCTTCCTAGATCATTCCACTGTTCCACTTGTGACCTCTCTCTCTCTATGTATAGGTACATATATATATTCACCCTTTTGTTTCTTTGTAGAGTTTCTTGGAGAAGAGAGTCCAGATGTATGTTTGAATTCATTCACATTCTTTGCAGAAACCAGAAAAGAGTATGAAAGGCCCTCCATCCTTTTGCCTCTGGCTTGTCTTTCTCTTCCATGGCTCTTCCTTGGCTTCTTATGGTTCTCTCTCTCTCTCTCTCTCTCTCACACACACACACACACACAAACACACACACACAGTGACACATCCATTTCACTAAAGTTCTATAATGGAAATTTTCAATTTTTTTTTGTTTTCTTCCCGCAGATGGGCCTCAATACGATTTTTCTGCTTACACAAAGGTAAATAGAAAGCACATTGACTTCTTTTTTAGCGTTCATTTTCATTTCAGTTATATGTTTAGGCATTGTTAAACCCCTTGCTTTTACAAACATTAGGCATTGTTTGGTAACGTTTTATTTGTGCTTTGGTTATAAAAATTGGAAACAAAAACACGTTTGGTGATTTTTTTTCGTTTTTTTAATTTTTTAGTGACAACGGTGTCCAAATTTTCTAAAATTTTAAAAATATATAAAAAATTTAAAAAGAAAGAAAGTATTTTCACTTCTTTTCAAAACAATTATGCTTGCATTCCCTCGTCCCTTCTCCACCACCATTTGCCACCACCCACGTCGGCCATCACCTCTGATCACCTGCCACCAACTTCAACCTCCCCACCTTTGGACACACTAACTCCCACCACCTCCAACACCGACCACACTCCACCACCAACCACTGTCTCTTGCAACGCATCGAACATGTTTTTATGTTTTTATTTTTATATATTTTCGAACAATTATGTGCACTAAACAAGGCAAAAATGTGAAGAAAAAAAAAAAAAAGCAAACAAACAAACAAACAAATTACCTGTTTCCTGTAAATAGAAAACAGTAAACTGACAACATTACCAAATGTCCAATGTCCAGTATCTTAATCTGGTTTTGAATCATAAATTTAGTTAGAAATTTGGAAAGGGAAATGAAGAAAGAAATGTGAGTAGTGTTTGGTAGAGTTTTCTAAATATGATTTGAGAATAGGAGTTGTATTTTGAGTTTGTGAGTTTTGAAATTATGATTTGAGTGTAGAAAATTTGTTTGGTAAATCAGTTTTGAAAAGAGTTTTGAATTGTGTGGGAAATTTTTGATGTGATATATGATATAAAAATTTACAACTCATAACTAAATACATAGCTCAACAATCTATTAAAAGCTCATAAAAATTTTAAAAAGTTTCAAAAATATTGTTTTATTAAAAATATATATGTATATATATATATATAAATTGCACTGTTAAGGTCAACCGGTCTGATGACCAAGGGGATGACTGGTAGGCCAAATTTCAAAATTTAAAAGCCCGCCTAGAACGAGTTTTTAAAAGGAGGGGTGAAATTAATTTTCCAAAACTCAAACCAAATATCATACTAGAATGTAGGGGTAAAACTATGATTTCAAAACCCTTCCAAACATAGAATTCTCCAGTTTCCTAACCAATTTCATGATTCAAACACAACATTAATGTCTCTGTATTAAGGTGGTTAGGTTGTAAGTCTCATTGTTTCAATTTTAGACAAGTGTTCAATAAGCTTTAGTGAATATTGTTGTAATGAGGTCAGGTCAGGGACTCTTCTATGATGACCCTTTTCATAGTTTTACTTTCTGATCACTGCAGTGTGAACAGTACCCAGCAAAACCGCTTTACGACGGAGGAGTCCTCAAAGATGAGGCTGCAGCTGTCCAGCCCATTCTTAACAACAATGGAAGCACAGTTTATTGGCCTGCTTTTGTCTTGCCAAATCTCACCCTGGACACCATTTACTCCTTCTCCAGTTGAGCTTCCTAATTTTTTTTAGTTTTTTATTGTTCAATTTATTCATACCACTATTCACCCAAAAATTTATTCATACCACAATTTTGACAGAATTGGAGCATAATTTATTCATGATCAGCCAATATGTAGCATGAGATCTAATGAAACAGTGGAACGCAAAATTTTCAATCATTTTAACAACTTAGTCCTTAATGCCCCCAATTGGAAGAACAAAAATTGGCACTGACTTATCAGTTTAAGTGCATTTATGCTCTGTTTGTTTCTCAGCAAAACATTTTCCAAACCACCAATACCACAATCAGCAGCACCATCATTTTCAGGGATGGAATCAAACACAAGAAAATATTTTCCTCAGAAACAAACAGAGAACTAGTTTCAAATCCTCTGCCTCTGCGTACAGAGCATTAGAAAAGTGATTCAAACCGATAGATTATCTCATCACATCAAGTACTTTAAACACAATAAATTGATTTAACTTCTAGGTAACTGAAATTATTCGATTTGTGATCTCAACAGGCTGGATCAAGATCAACGCTGCCAATTCAGCTCTTGTAAGCGCGAGCCTAATGACAGAAGATACAAAATACAATTGCATAGGGACGGTCATAGCCAAGCGTGGTTGCTGGTCTTTTCTCAAGGGTGGATTCGCATTAACTTCATCATCCAGCTTGTCCCTGCTATACTTGCAGGTGAAAATCTAATTCATGTATTAATTGTTTGCCCAAATTGCCAATTTTTTTTACCATTCGTTGTCATTATTTTACAGAATTCAGATAATGAAGACATCGATATAGAAGTTGCTAGTGCTTCGTTGCAGCCTTTTACAAAGGAGCAATGGAGTTGGAACCAGTGGCTTAAAATTAAAAAAGTAAAGACGCAACTCCATGTTTTAGGCCTGTTCAAATTTAAAAAGGCATCATCCTACAATGAATCAACCAAGACGGTGTTTTTTGTTTTTGTTTTTTGTTTTTTGGAAGGAAAGGAAGCGTGCTGTGACAATTCATGTGTCGGATGGACATGGAGACAGGTTGCAAGGAGCAAGAATTACGGTTGAGCAAATTTCGAAAGATTTCCCATTTGGATCTGCTATAGCAAAGACTATTATTGGAAATGTTCCCTATCAGGTTAGCCTATGAATTCTGTCTGAAAGATTACCCGAAAAAATTGAAATTGATGATAAATTTGAAAGAGCAAAATATTGAATCTGTTTGGTAACATTTTTGTCTTCTGTTTTCTGAAAGACTAGTTCTTTAAATTGCTGTTCAGAATTGGTTTGTTGAGCGATTCAACGCAGCAGTTTTTGAAGATGAACTCAAGTGGTACTCGACAGAGCCTAATCCGGGGCAACTCAACTACACATTAGCAGACCAGATGTTGGAATTTGTTCGAGCAAACCAAATTATCGCCAGAGGGCACAATATCTTCTGGGAAGACCCAAAGTACACACCAGAATGGGTTCGCAACCTGACAGGTTCGGAGCTGAAATCAGCTGTGAGCTCACGCATACAAAGCCTGATGAGCAAATACAAGGAGGAATTCATTCACTGGGATGTCAGCAACGAAATGCTTCATTTCGATTTCTATGAGCATAGACTCGGACCCAATGCCACGTTGAATTTTTTTAAGACAGCACATGAATCAGACCCATTAGCGACTCTGTTCATGAATGAATTTAATGTGGTGGAGACTTGTGATGATGAGAAATCAACTGTGGATGCATACATTTCAAAGATGAGAGAGCTCAAGCAAGGTGGGGTGACTATGGATGGAATTGGATTGGAGGGTCATTTTACCGTGCCAAACCTTCCTCTAATGAGAGCTATTCTTGACAAGCTGGGTACACTAGGGCTTCCCATTTGGCTTACAGAGGTTGATATTAGCAGCAAAATTGATCGTGAAACACAGGTGAGCGATGGTTATTGGTGTTCTAATATCAGTAGAGTGAGTTGTATTATCCATGGAATCTCTAAGGTTGTGTTTGAATCATTTCACACATCTTTTTTCTATCCAAAACTCTACCCAAATCTATGATTCAAATACAGTTTGATGGTGAATCGCTAAAATGAGATGCTGAAGTTAAATTTTGGCACGCATTGTGTTTGTTGAGGGAAATGAGGTCATGAGATTGGACTTTGTATCATATTCGGTCCGAATCACATGTCTAGATACGAAGTGGACCCTTGGATTGACAGTTCTTCCGGACTGTATATTCCCCATGTGGGGACTATTGATTCCCATATAGGGATACAAAATTGGAGGATTAAGAGGGTCCAGATTAGGGGTCAAAATATTAATATTAAAATATCCTCAAACTATCGTCATTACACCATGTAGTCATTGTCTAGTAATTCTAGACAAATATGAGATGAGATAAGATTCTATTATTCTCCTACCTAATCTAGGGACATTCCAAACGTGAGATGGGATATATAACCCTAGTATTATTAATCACAACTAGTAGTCCCATTTAATTCAATCTAATGAAAAAAATGTTACAATCCTGCTTTAATAGTTGGAATACTATTTCTTCTATTTTCTTCACAAAAAATTAAATATTGATAGTAGTTGTGGGCCCATCAAGAGATTGTCAAAATTTTAGCAATCTGCCTAACTTTGTTTCGTAGTTAGCTGTTGCATTGCAGCTCCAATGACAACTGCATTGGAACTCTTTTTTGCCCAAAATCCTATATTATAGCAATGACAATTGGAGTCACTCTAATTTGCTTCTTCTATAACCTAACTTTGTTTTGTTTTGTTATCTTGTCCAGGCTATTTACCTAGAAGAAGTACTGAGAGAAGGTTTCTCACATCCTTCTGTAAATGGGATTGTGCTATGGACAGCCCTGCATCCAAATGGGTGTTACCAAATGTGCCTTACGGACAATGAATTTCATAATCTTCCAGCCGGGAACGTGGTTGACAAGCTCCTGATTGAATGGCAAACTAGGATCGAACTTGGTCAGACAGATGCACAAGGCGCATACAGCTTCTACGGATTCCTAGGTGAATATAAAGTGACTGTAACTTACAGCAACAGAACTGCAAATTCAACTTTCTCACTAAGCGGAGGCGATGAGACTCGACATTTTAGCATTCAACTTTAGTACTATGTCTTTATCAGTTGGCAGAATTATACCAAAAATTGAATTGATACATCACTTGTGGTACAAAGAGTGTACTGCATTATATACTTGAATGATATGTCATGCATATTGTAGATTAGTTCTGGAATCTGAGCCGAAAAGTCAGGGAATCTCTGTAAACAAGATTGGTACAACTCTTCTATAATTATGTAGAATTCGAAAACAAAAAAAAAATAAAAAAAAATTTAAGTAATTTTGTATGGTTAAATTGAATCAAAATTGATGATTCCTAAGGCTTAATAAATAATTTTTTTTTAAAAAATTAGCCAACAAGTGCCCCCTAGCACATAAGAAAAAGACAAAAAATTATAAACATAGGATATTTTTTACTGAATTCAATACACTTTTTATTGAAATTAATACACTTTTTTATACATTTACTTATTTCTAAGGTATTTTTTAGCTTAATCCCAATTTTAGACAATGCTATAAGGGCACTCTTTAACATTTGCCTTTTCAAAAATTCCCATGGCCCGGCCCAGGCTCATCTGGCCTAACAAACTTTAACCCAACTTAAGTTTGTACCGTAGGCAAGCTGGCCTGGTGGGAATGAGGGTTTGGGATGGGTCTAGGATTTGAAACTCGTCCTGTTGACCTGTGAGAGGCAGCCTGTCAACCTGAAAGTCTCGTACAACACATAATTTTTTTTTAAAAAAAAACCCAAAAATATAGGCTTGAATCTTGACCCGTAGGCTTGTTGGGCAGGACTTGTGCATGAAGTTTACTCTCAAAAAGCCAACTAGGCTTAGCCCGCAAACGGGTTTAGGCATAGCCCAATTCAATGTCGACCTTTACTCGTAATATATTGTGACGAGAGAAGTTCACAATCAATACTAGATATCCCTGTTGGTGCACGGTCCCGCATGTCATGCGCGCATGCAAAGTTCCAGACACGGAAAGCTGTTGAGGATGACTACTGCTACTACTCAACATCAATGACCAAACTAAACAAACCATTTCATTCATCAACAACATTAAATATTAAGTTACACCCATATGCGAATATCTGGTTTGCATTACAAAACAAAACCAAAAGTTTAGGCAATCCGTATTACAAGCAGAATTAGGGCCAACACAGTAGAGCCAAAACACTTGCCACTGTTTCTAACCTGATCTAATGATTGTGAATATTTTGGGACGGCCAAATTAGGGACTTGGAGCATGTTTGATAGTAATGTTAAGTTACCAATTGTACCAAAAACTTAAGCGAAGAAAGAATGTAAATGGTACCAAATGCAAACGAAAAAACTTGAACCCATGAATTTCCATATCGGTTAAGGCTCCAATTGTCCCGAAAACTTAAACAGTTAGCAAATGGGACCAACAATGTACCATTGCTATCCAACAATAAATCCCATATCAGATAAAAAAGTTAAAGGAGTAAAGCATAATATATATTAGATTGACTCACCACTTATAGACTAAAACTTTAAAGTAAATATAAGTTCTGAACAAGATAGATAGATTAAACTGTGTTGGTGCATGTATACGGCTCTCCAAATTCCTCCAACAAGAAGCCAAAAGAGAGTACGCAAACGTTTTTTTTTTTCTTTTTTCTTTCTTTAATGTATATATGTTAATAAAAACATCACATCAGCAAAGTTGAAGGAGCAAGTACACGGACGTGCTAAAAATCCCATCATCAAATATTATAATTAATTTAAGAACAACTCTCTACCTCTCCCTAAATAAAGACTTCAATAGTGCATACAACTCGAGCAACACTGTTTCATTCACATATTACAAGTATTTCCTGTTTTCACCATAGCTGCATTTGGATCTCCCACTTCTATACCCAAAAACAAAAACAAAAACAAAAACAATGAAAGATCCTTTACCGTTCTGCTTCTTGGTTCTCCTCCTCCTCATTAGCCCTTGCTTGGCTACTTATGGTCTCTCTCTCTCTCTCTCTCTGAGAAAAAGTTTGTCTATAAATGCACAATTAAATTACAGAAAAATATTAAGTGTAAGATAAATTGATAGAGAGAGAAAAATAAATTGTGTATATATTGATTGATATTGAATGTTGTTGATTGATTGATGTTACAAAGGTTCAGTTGAACTCCTCTATATAGGAGAGGAGCCGAAAGTGGCACTAATAAAGTAAAGTAAAAGGAAAAGAAATATATCCTACATAGAATAATATACTAACATTAAGAATGTATATGACGACACGATGAGACCCACTAGAAGTATTACCATTCGTTGGTATACCCTCACTATTTTCTTCCAAATGTGGGTTTCATCGTCCTAACATGTGTTTTTTCTTTTTTTAGTTTTTCAACTTCATTTGTAATTTAATAGTGTGTATTGTTGTGAGGCGTCTTATATTTTTTGTGGTACACTCAAATTTAGCCTTTTACTGAGGCAAACGGCAAGGCCATTAGGTATTTATTGTATTTTGTGACTAGGTTTCAGTGTGAGAGTATGACAATGTTGTAGAGTTGTTAAATTGAGAGTTTTAGAGCTCGGTAATTAAGAGGTTTCCCTCTGTAAACTTAGGCACATTGCCAAACTACATATATCTTATGAATTCTATTTTTGATTTGTTTCTCTTTACTATTTTTGGATCAGAACCGTTTGATTTCTGCGCAACAAGTTTGTAGATTCACTATTTCAGGAAGTAATACTTGTTAACTGGGAATCCTTTCCTATTCTTTTTACTGCAGATGGACCTCTATATGATTACTCTGCCTACACTGAGGTAAATCTCAATTTTAAGTCATTTGAGACAAATGTAAGCTACCCATTTTGAAGTTTGACCACTCTGGTTCATCGTTTTTGTGTGTGTGTGTGTGAGGCAGTGTAAAACAGTGGCAGAGAGTCCACTTTACAAAGGTGGAATAATCAAGGGTCAAGCCCCGAGCATTGCGCATGGACTCAATGTTTCTGGTAGTGTTGTTCATTTCCCTGCTTTTGTTTTGCACAATCTCACAGCAAACTCCAAATACTGTTTCTCCAGTTGAGTTTCTCTCTGATTACTTTTAAATTGTAAGAGGGGCTGATTTGAGCCCACTAAATTATTTAAGCCCAATAGCCCAAGATTAGTTCTTTGTATGTGTTAATCTATATACATTAATAATATCTTCACCAAAGCTCATTTTCTTGGCCGCTTCGTTGAACTTGTTTCCCAACTCCAGTTGGTTTGATGTTTGTCCTCCTTGAGTTTGAGGGGGCTGTTAATGTATATAGATTAATGTATATATAGATATATAGGTTTAAATATGTATATATATAGTTAGTGTGCTTTCCCCTTTCGGCCACTTTCTCTTTAGGCCATGATGGTGTTTGTATCATCGCATAAAGGAGATGCTACAAACACCTACAAACACCATCATGGCCTAAAGGGAAAGTGACCGAAAGGGGAAAACATAACTATATATATATATATATTTAAACCTATATGTATATACATTAATCTATATACATTAACAGTATGTTTGTTTCAGATATGAAATGGCTTTTCATTTTTTTACCAATTTAGTCAAATCTGCTCAAAATGATTGTTTTCAAGTCAATTTGAGAACACTTAAAACAGGGGAGTTCTCTGTTTTGATATAATGATTGTTGGACAATCGTCGCTGCAACGTAGTGTAGCACTGAACAAAGGTCTTCAACAAGTTTTTGAAAAAATGTCTACTTCTTAGTAATTCACTCGCAAAAGATTAAAATCATCTAAATTCAGTGACCTTAATTTTTTCTCCAAGAAATTCAGAAAATTTCATGGAGAACAAAAATAATCAAATAGGAAACATTCAAACCGCTTTAGGAAACATTTCTGGGAATTCATGAAGAGTGAGAGTCTTAGCCCATGTCATTGTTGGTGGTGCTCAAACAGGTTGGGTAAAGATAAGTGGTGCAAATTCAACTCTGATAAAGGCAAGCCTAACAACAGACAATACTACATACCAGTGTGTGGGAACTGTCGTTGCAAAGCACGGGTGCTGGTCATTTCTCAAAGGTGGATTTGTACTCGATTCTCCCTCAAATCTCGCTCTCCTATTCTTTCAGGTATTATTATCTTCAGTCTGTTAGCTTTGTTGTCTCCCGAGGATGGCTTTCACTCTAACCCAAAACCTTTCGAGTTGGGGGCAAATTATGTTCTAAAACAGTATATGCGTCAAAGCCTAACTATTTTTTGTTTTGAAGAATCCAGACAGGAGGGATATCAATATAACAATTGCGAGTGCCTCTTTGCAGCCATTTACTGATGAGCAATGGAGAGCAAACCAACAATACAAAATCAACACTGTAACTACTAGAAAACTTTTAATGTTTTGTCACGTCTTTTAGATTGTCAAACAAATGAAATACTGTGAAATTTCTCAACATCCATCAATATCAAAGAACAGTAATGCTTGAAAATTTTCTGTTTTATCGAACGATTCTAATGTATATTCGCCCAGGAAAGAAAGCGTGCTGTCATGCTCCATGTATCGGATGTGAATGGGAATGGACTGCCAGGAGCAGAGATTGAGGTAATGCAGGTGTCTAAAGATTTCCCGTTTGGATCTGCCATAGCAAAGACCATTCTTGGAAATTTGCCCTACCAGGTAGCATGATTTCCCATTCGGATCCACCATAGCAAAGCTCCGTTTGTTTCGACAAAAAACATTTCCTGACAAGTGTTTGTGTTTTTCACAAATTCCATTTTCGCAAGAAAATGTGTCAGGTATTCAGTTGTGGCCCTAAAAATGATATACTAGTGGTGGTGGCAGCAATAGTGGCAATGGTAGTGGTGGTGGTGGTGTGATGGTAGGGTTATGGTGGTAGAGTAGTGGTTGCGAGGTGGTAGTGGCAAAATAACTAATTTTCTGTTGACTTTTATTTTCTCTTGTATCAAACTCGAGAAAAATAGTTTTCAAAAAACGTTTTCTGGTGAAACAAACAGAGCGTAACAGAAAACGTTTTCAATAGGTACCAAACACACTGCACATCTAGACCAACAATTCCTTCCTGTTGTTTCCAGAATTGGTTTGTTGAGCGATTCAATGCAGCAGTAATCGAAGACGAGCTCAAGTGGTACTCGACAGAGCCGCAGCAGGGACATGTTAACTACACAATACCAGACGAAATGCTTGAATTCGTCCGAGCCAACCAAATCACAGCCAGAGGCCACAACATATTCTGGGAAAATCCCAATTTCATCCCTGCCTGGGTTCGGAACCTCACAGATCCCGAGCTAAACTCAGCTGTCAAGTCTCGGATTCAGAGCCTAATGAGTAAATACAAAAATGAATTCATACATTGGGATGTCAGTAATGAAATGCTCCATTTCGACTTCTATGAGCAACGGCTAGGTCCTAATGCTACTCTACGATTTTTTGAGACCGCGCATCAATCTGACCCATTAGCGACGCTGTTTATGAATGAATATAATGTGGTGGAGACTTGTGAAGATGTTAATTCAACTGTTGATGTGTATATTTCGAGGCTGAGAGAACTAAAAAGAGGGGGTGTGAAAATGGATGGAATTGGGCTGGAAAGTCATTTTTCGAAGCCGAATCCTCCTCTGATTAGAGCTGTGCTAGACAAGTTGGGAACTCTAGAGCTTCCTATTTGGCTTACTGAGGTTGATATCAGCAACACTTTTGATTTTGAAACACAGGTTAGCAAGTGTGGTTGTTTTTTAGTATTTTCAAATTCATGGTGAGAGAAATTGAAAGTTTCCATGCCAAGTTCTTAAGGGCAGTACTCAATCAGACTTGCATGCATAGCTCTTAGACAATTCTATAGTATCATCAAATTTAATGAAAAGTTCGAAAAACCTTTTTCATTTTTCTGCAAAAATAGTTTATGAAAATTCAAAAACAGCTTTTTTTTGTTGTTTCCTTAAAAGTGGATGTTTTTTTAAAAAAATTCTCAAAATGGTTTGCCAAACAAGTTTCTAGTGTTTACATTTTCTGTTTTTTGTTTTGATGTTTCAAAAAAAAAATATAAATTTGTTTGACGAATTGTTTTTAAAAACTTTTTCGAAAGCTATCTATGTTTTAGGAAACATAAAAGGAAAAATAAACAATTTCTGTATTTTCTGAGACTCTTAGAGTTTTTTTTATTAATGTAGATCTTATTATTTTTGTTGCTTGGGATGATCTAAATAAGTGCACTTTTTGACTTTTTATGAAATATGGGTTGGGTTTGTAGTAATGTGTTAGAGAGATGATGTGACTTAAATAAGATAATGACTTTTTGACTTTTTGTCTTTTTCAAGACATGCCAAACTTGGCCAAATATCTTACAAAAAAACACAATTTGTTGTTAGTGTATCCTATCCTACCCAATTTGTGCGTATGGCACATTAGTTACTCGCTGCTAGGTTTGACTTGTTTCTTGTTGTATTCAAATCTTTTGGTATATATCATAAATTATTTCAAGTATTAGAGTTAGATGAGTAGGAAAAAATATGTATTACAGACTTCTTTGAGAGAGACAGTTATTTATATTTTCTCCTCTTTCCATAGTCAAACTCTCTGTTATTCTTCGCCCGTAGACCTAGGTTAAGTCAAACCTCACATACCTTGTCAAACCCTTTGTCGTTCTTCGTGACCTAGGTTAAGCCAAACCACATATACCCTTTTTTCTTGAGCGGTTACTCTATTTTACTTTCTCATTTTCATTTGTTCCGTCATATCAAAACCAAACATTTGTTCTCACTGAAATTTCATATCCTGTTTGTATTTTATGCCTATTTTGCAGGCCACATATCTAGAAGTAGTGCTGAGCGAAGGGTTCTCACACCCATCTGTAAATGGGATAATGCTATGGACAGCACTGCATCCATATGGGTGCTACCAAATGTGCCTCACAGACATCAATCTCCATAACCTCCCATCTGGTGATGTGGTTGACAAGCTCCTTAAAGAGTGGCAAACAGGGGTGATAGAGGGTGAAACAGATGACCATGGTTCCTTTAGCTTTTTTGGGTTTTTAGGTGAATACAATGTCACAGTTAAGTATGGCAGCAAAACTACAAATTCAATGTTGTCACTATGTGGTGGTGATGAAACCAAACACTTTAGCCTTCAATTGTAACTGTCACATGTATAATATCATGGTATAGGGAGGGTATAGCTACAGCCAGAGTAATTATCTTGCCTCTCAAAAATTAGTGTGTCCATCTAACATTATGGAGCTGTGCTTATATGGCCCAAAAAAATAGAAAGACTATGACAAAATGACAAAATATGATTGGTTGGACACACAATCATGTGATCTTCCGAGAACACTAAATAATTTCTGCTACAGCCGATCAACAATGATTCGTCCCTCTAATTTTGAAGCTCTAATTGAGCACTAATGAAGTGGAAATTCAAAAAGAAAAAAAAAAAAATCGAAGGCCAAAACATCACATCAATAGATGGAGCGCACCTCCTAAAACTCCTTTAGAACTCATAGTTTAGAGCTCCCAAACATTTTTCACGGCAGATTGTATAGCAGAGAAATGGTAGATAATAATTTCTGCTACAGAAGATTGTACAATAGTACAACAATTGCAGTACATGAAGTGTCTCACTCCTGCAATTTTATAGCAGAGAAATGGTAGATATCCTTTAGAACATGATCTGTAAATTCACCATCTCTCTTGTGACATCAATCTTATGATTTTATCAAGCTTAATTTTGATTTTTTTTTTATTTTTTTATTTTTGGCATAACTTATTGTTACAAGTATTATCAACAACATGCCGTAAGCAATACAAACATTTGAGAATAAATCTAATTTTTCTGTATAATTCAATACATCAATTGGAGCGTTTTCTTTTGCTTCCATTTTTTTTTTTTGGTACTTTTAAAAATGAAAAAAAATTATAAATCATCAATAGTAGAAGAAGTATAGTTTTTTTTAAAACATAGTAGGTTTTGTACAATAATACAACAATCAAGGTATATATAATTAAATTGTCCCACTAGTGCAATAACCGCATGGAGATATGTAACGAACATAGTTACTTTATTCTTATTGATTGTATAATTAATAAGATTGTATAATTGTTGTGGAATAGCTTCTCTAGGACAGAACTGAACCAATAAGATCAATTACTCTATGATAAAGATTTTATAAGATTATCTAATCAGTTTGACGAAGTTGATTACTGGGTTAGACCCACAAGACATTATGTGTAGTCATGTGATATTATTCATCAGGTTCTATTAATTAGTGATGTAAAGTTTCTTATTTGTAGAAATGCTAGAAACTCACAATTTAAATTCTCTAATTCATTTATAATTACATAACAAAAGAGTTATGCCTTATATGATTGAGTTCATAACAACTTAAAAAATTATGTATAATTTGCTACGCCATTGTGGCTAAAATCAAGAAAAATGTTTTAAGGGTCTCCCTCTTTTTCCTTTTTTGAAATTGCGGAGTTCTCACAATTAGGGGTGGGCGAGGGTCGGTTGTAACCACAAAACTTTTAATCCGCCATCCATCTACCATATTGACAGATTGGAGAAAATTAATCTGCATCCGTCTGCCAACCCGTCAGATGTAGATTAAACGGATTGCGGATTGGCGGATGAATGCGAATCAGTTTGGCGGTTTAAAATTTTATAAATTTTCAACATAATTCAACTTGTGCACTTCCTCAAAAAAAAAAATATTACAGTTAATGATTTAAAAAAGTATTATAACCACTGCATGCCTCATCCAAAGAAAGAAAGTTTGAAACTTTAGAATATTACAATCACTACATGCCTCATCCACATATTACAATTTGTGATTCTTAAAATATAAAAATAATTAAAACCACCAAAACCATGAACAGAGTAGTAGTAGAGATTGTATACCTCTGTATTGTTACATCTATATCTGTTTTTAAAAACAAAAACCAACCAACATACATCATCTTTTTTATTTATTATTTTTAGAGTTAGATTTAAAAACCAAAAAATATATTCAAGTTGAAACTCTTTTCAACAGAATATTTAAACTCTTTTTCAATTGAAAAAACAAATAGAATATCTAAATAAATTGAAAATGCAAAGTCTTACAAATTACTAGGAGTGCTCACGGTTTGGCGGTTCGGTTGCGGCCAAAGGAATCTCAAATCTGCCATTGTCCAAAACTAGGTGGATTGAAAAAAATCAATCTGCAACCGTTTGCTCATCATCACACATCCATTGAAAATGCGACGGATCGGTTCGGTTTAGTTCTGTTCGGTTCTGTCAGTCGATTTGGGCAGATTAGTATATCCGCTGCTCACCCCTACTCATAATGCAGTTGTAAACCTACTGATATTTTTTTTAAGACACTATTATTTGAATCCACATTCATATGTCAAATTGTAAATTTTTTGTTTTTCTATTTTTGGTTACTCAAATTGTAAATTATGAGAAAAACTATGCACTTTATAACTAAAGAAAAAAAAATGACATACCTCTGTATTTTTTGAATCAAAACTAAAAAAAAAGAAGAAGTCATAACTAAATACCGCTTGGGACATAATCAAAGATTTCATGAGTTATAAATAAAATATTATCATAATTAAAACAAATGACATAATTAAAAATATACATTATACACTCCTTCCGAAGAGTGTCTATAGTGGAATTTCTCGTAAATTATTGATTCATCCAATTCAACCAAAAGCCAAGCTGTCCACACCACGTACCATACAGCTCAATTTAAAAAGTCATGTGATTTCAGATTATAGTACAATTGTGAACATGACAATTGTGTTCAATGATTGGTGGTTGTGGAATCAACCCATTACTCTCAATTACAATGGTCCCTATTTTTATTTATTTATTTTTGGAACTAGAAAATGCCCTCAGGCTACAGAGAAACATCTGATAACAGCAATTCCATGACAAGTGGAGGGGGAGATCTAACCCAGCCAAGGGGAAGGGAACCCTTCAATTCAAGTGAGTTGAAGCGAGCCAATCGACCACCCTGTTGGCCGTTCTGGGAGCCCAGGAAAATGTGAAAGAGGACTCCAAGCCCAAGAAGCGGATGTCGTGGATGCAAACAAGGCAGTCACATAGGGGATCCAACTCTGAAGCACTTAACTCGATTACTGACTTGTTATCACTTTTCACTTGGACGTTAGAAAGCCCAAGAGCTCGAAGGAACAAATATGCCAGCCTAACTGCGCGAGCTTCTCCTTGAATAAGGGACTGGACCATAGAGACCACCCCATCAACCAATCTTCCTTTCCAATCCCTTAGTATAACAGCTAAGGAAACCTTCCTCCCACCTAGAGAGAGGCTAACATCGCAATTTGCTTTGAGACAGCCTTGACTGGGAGGGGCCCATCTTGAGTGATTGTGGATAAATTGCGACCTCGCTTGAGAGGACTCCACTGCCTGTGGGGCCGAAGGACCAATTTCACAACACAGAGTAACAGCTTGACGGATTACCTGTGACGGTTCTACTGGAGAATGGTTAAAACCCCAATCGTTTCGTGCTTTAACATTTGAACAAAGCTCCATAACAGACAAGTTCGAGCCAAACCAATCTACTCTTGTCCAATTGTAGTGGGAAAGAAGATGTTCTATCAACTCTGGGGCAGCTCTACAAATAAGACACCACTGTGATGGAGAACACCGATGCCGAAACAAATTCTCTTTAGTGGCCAATTTATTGCAACAAACACACCACCAAAAGTTCCTGATTTTCAGTGGAACATCAAGCGACCAAATGAGCTTCCAGAATTCTTTAGGAACATAGGTTGAAGAAGAAGCTCCAAAGCTTATTTTGGACTATTGCTCCCCAATTGCAACTTGGTAGCCACTCTTGACTTCATAGGCTCTAGATTTCGTGTAATGCCACACTAGAGAGTCCTCATGGCCTTCCGAGGAAATGGGGATGGATGTAATGGCTTTAAGCTCCCTCGTCCCCACCAGCACTTGTAATTTTAGACAGTTCCACTCTCTGAGGCTTTTGTTAATCACATTGCCCACCAGCTGAACTTGGCATCTAGGCGGTTTGTGGGCATGGACTCTGAAGTTCTGTGACTGAGGTATCCATTGATCATCCCAAAAAAGGATAGAATTTTCGTTGCCAACCTGCTACCTTAGTCCTTTTCTGAGAAGATCTCGGCCTTGAAGAATGCTTGTCCAAACCCAAGAAGGGCTTATACCCCTGGCTTCCATTAGGATTGTTAGAATAGCTTTAACTTTATCATTATTAATTGTATAGCTTTATGTTAGACAGCTTTAGCTTTATCATTATTAATTGTATGCTTTCGGTGGTAGTGGGTTTAGTGGGTTCTTTGGTATCCAATGCCCATTTTTCTCTCTATAAAGAGAGACTTAATTCTCTTTGTAAATCAATGTATATACAAACATTTCAGAGTCTCTCTCTCGCTCTATAGCTTCTCTCACTCTCTCAAACTAATCTTTCAAGGATATTAGAGTGTGGGTGGTAAATACCTCTCAAAATTCAAGCACAAAAGGAGTTGGGACATGCAATAATTCTCCAAGCCTGTTTAACTAGAAGAGCTAAATTAAAGGATTTGAAATCCCTAAAACCCAACCCTCTCTTTGATTTTGCCAAAACTAGATTGTCCCAGCTCGCCCAATGAATTCCGCTTTCCAAAGGATTGCCATCCCACCAGAAGTTGCCAATATAAGAATTTAATTGATCGCTAAACTTTTTGGGGAATGGAAAACATGCCATGGCATAGGCCGAGATTGCCTGCACAATTGATTTAACAAGAACCTACTTCCTTACAAGCAATAGTAAATTCTTCTTCCACCCTTGCATTTTGCTTATTGCTTTCTCGATTAAAAAAATAAAAGCTTTGGATTTTAATCTACCCCAAAAGGAAGGAAGGCCCAAGTACTTCGAGTTATACCATTAATTGAAGAGATCTCCATCAGGGCACACACCTCACTTTTTACCGACTTTGAGGAATTACCCGAAAAAATAATCCCTGATTTTTCAAAATTGATGAGTTGTCCTTAAGCAGAATTATACTCTTCCAAAATGGATTTTAGGGCCTGGCATTCCCTTCGATCTGCTTTGGCAAAGAGGAATGCATCTTCCGTGGAAAAAAAAAAAGGTGAGTGTTGGGCATCCCCTTTTAAGCGTAATCCCTGACAATTTCCTATCCTGTAAGCCCCGCATCATAGATAAGATAAGCCCTCAACAACAAGAACAAAGAGGTATGGAGAGAGTGGGTCTCCTTGCCTAAGTTCCCATGAGGGGATGAAGGCAGCTTTTTTCACTCCATTCGTAATCATAGAGAATGAGACG